TCAGTTAATTGAACCATTATGAAAATTTCATGTACTAAGATTTTGTGCGGAGCGACTTGACAACTTGATGCGAACTCTTGAGCTGGCGGATGTGTCAAATTTTCGATGTCTCATGCAGGTTGCGATTCTTTCTACCTTAGTCAGCACTTACTCAAAGGTAAATTTTATTCTTTTGTTTTCAATTTTGATTAAGAGAAATGTTACGAGTCATTCTAGCACTTTTGCAAACGAGAAAAGTTTACTATCCTTTCAGGGGTTCTCTCTCATAATAGAACCGAGCGAAGCAAGTCAACCAGGGCAATTAACACTGTCATGCATGGATGCCTCAATTGCCATTCGACCAGTGATGGAGCGGTTTCAGACGGTAGTTATTCACTCTAAAATTAAGCGCAATGTTACCGCAAATTCTTTAGGTAGTGATTACATCCGGGACATTGTCACCTCTGGAGATGTACCCGAAAATCTTAGACTTCGAACCAGCTGTCATGGCTAGTCTTACAATGACTTTAGCTCGACCTTGTTTGAGTCCATTAGTGGTGGCAAGAGGGAATGATCAGGTATCGACGAATGCATTCACTTTGAGCACTTTTTTCGGAGCAATTTCATTCTTTCATTTTTGAATCAAATGGAGAAATTAGTGAATCAGCAATCTTTGTTACTGTTGCTGCTGCTATCCTTTCTTTTGTGCTAGAACTTCAGACATCTGATTGAAAACTGAAATAAGAATTCAGGTTGCTATGACTTCCCGGTTCGAGCAAAGAAGCGATGTGGCGGTTATTAGAAATTACGGCAATTTAGTTCTTGAAATGGCTGCTGTAGTACCGGATGGTATGGTTGTATTTTTCACCAGCTATGTGTACATGGAGTCTGTAATAGCTGTGTGGTATGAGCAAGTAGGTTTTCATTGTGAGATGTTCCCTTTGAATTTAAATGTCGTTACGGGATGTATGGAGAAGAGCTCAATGACTTTGCTCATCCATGAACATTGGCTTTTGAAACAAGGGAATTTAGCATAACTTCTGCATTCATAGCAAAGATCTACAGCCCTTTTTTT